GAACCCAACACCCGCCGCCCAACCCACCCCACACCAATTCTCTGGGCAGAGGGATGAGATTGAAAGCAATTGGTATACGTGCCACGATTGCGTCTACTCTACTGTAAATATTGCTCATACCCGAGTATCGAGGATGTTTCCCGTGTTCACTGGGAATAATCGAGCGCGAGATATTGAAACGTCAAATAACGACTGCTGTACTCGGTACACTTGCCAGTTATATTTCTCGCATACTCTATATAAATTGAAAATTTGTTTTTTCAGGTGACTCAAGCTCATTGCAATTATTTTCAAAGTCACAGGGATATGAAACCTCTAAAATCCTAATCTATGAAATCAGTCGAAGTGAATGGAGTCGCGCGATCGGGATGAGTCAAATCGTACGGAGCAAATCGTCAAGTATGGGATAAAGATTGTGGGTCAAATCGTATGGATCAAATCATCAAATATCGCGAGATAAAGATGGTGGGTCAAATCGTGTGGGTCAACTCGTATGAGTCAAATATCATGGGATAAACATTGTGGGTCAAAACGTGTGGGTGGAATCATGAGTTAAACATCATGAAATAAAGATTGTGGGTCAAATCGTGTGGATAAATCGTATGGATCAAATCATAAAATATCACGAGATAAAGATTGTGGGTCAAATCGTATGGGTCAAATCATGTGGGTGAAATCGTACGGATCCAAGCATCAAATATCATGAGATAAAAATTGAGAGTCAAATCGTGTGGGTGAAATCGCATGGATGAAATCTGATGAGATAAAGAATGTGGGTCAAATCGTGTGAATGGAATCGTATGGGTCAAACTTCATGGGATAAAAATTGTGGGTCGAATCGTGTGGATGAAAACGTATGGCTCAAACACCATCGGATAAAGATTGTGAGTCAAATCGTGTAGGTCAACTCGTATGAGTCAAATATCATGGGATAAATATTGTGGGTGAAATCGTGTGGGTGAAATCGTATATGTCAAATATCACGGGATAAAGTTTGTGGCTTAAATCGTTTGGGTCACATCACACTGGTGAAATCTGCGGGTTTCATCCGCCCCATTTAACCCACACGGTCTCACCTATCCAATTCGACACCCCAATCCCTGACTTCACTTCACCCAAACTCATCGAAATCATGTCCTCACTCGCGCTGAAGTGATTTCAAGCCAAAAATATCACTCCCTAATCCTTATTAAACATCAATTGTAATTAATTCGATGCAAAGTATATTTGTTACCTAGACGGATTTAAATCTCATAAGTTAAGCCTCTAGAATTGCGTTATGCAGTAGCTAGAATGAGTAGGATGATCCAGGTGAAAGCATTAGCGGCTGGAGAGTGCACACTCCAAGGGGGCGAGTGGGCGGAGGGCGCTTGCTGAGGGGTTGCTAGGCGCAAAAGCGGAAGTAGATTCCAGCCTCCTCCCCATCAGCACCCCCAGCGACCTTGCTGCAGTGAGAGGAAGAGACTGAAAGAGAGCGAAGTGGATGAGAGAACGGGAGAGGAATTGAGAGACTGGCGTGGGTGCGAGGAATACGGCGAAAAGGACAAGAGCGCCAGGTCGATTGGGGGTACGATGTGGAGTGCAGGGGCGAGGGGGGGGGG